CCACATTCCATCCCCAAAACGCCTTCTGTAGGCATTCTGGGGGTGGAGTGTTGCTGCCCCCAGTGCCTGCCCTCCCTGTGCTCCTGGCCAAGGAGGATGGAGCCTCCTCCCTCCACCAGTGCTCCATGGAGGCTTTGAGGGTGCACGCTTACTCGCCCTCTCCTCAGCAGAAGGGGAGGGGCTCTAGGTAGGGCTAGCGGCCTGCCTACTCCAGCTCCAGCTGAACCAACCACCCATGCAAGGGTGCCTGCTGATTCATATGAGGGCGTTGCTGGTTGTTCCCCTTTATCAGGGAGTAAGGGGAAAGGGCAGTTTTCTGCATTCAGCACTCTGGCTGGAGAGCACAGGGGGCAGATGAACCTGGATCTGGGGACATGTACCCCTCCACCAGCTGTGCCTGCTGGAGCTGCAGTGGCTATGGAGAGCTGCATCTCACCTGGTCCCAAGCTGGTGGGGTAAGAGAGGGCTGAGTGGGCCTGCATACTGAACCTCTCATCTCCACCCCCATCCCAGAGCAATGATTTAAATGACAAAAAACAAAAAATTAATTAAGGTCCTGAGCCACAGAAATCTTCTAGCACTGTTATAAAGAAGGAAAACAAATTTAACATCAACCAAATACAGCAGGCTGCAACAAAAGAAACAGACCAAAAAGCTCCATTTCAATTTGACTACTCTACAATTAAAAACTAAGGGCTGGTTTGTAACTTTGATTATATGCTCCTGCAAGGCAGTAAGGGAGAATAAGAACATTCCTTCCCTCAACTATTTTGGCTTTCAAAGAGCAAGTGGGCAAAGGCTCTCCAGAACAACTAAATGAGCACAGAGGCTGTTATGATCTGCTTCTGTTATAGACCAGTAGCAAATTACTGTCCACTACAGCATGGGGGAAAGAAAAGAGGGAATAGAGTTTCAGAAGTGTAGCCTTTAAGTACAAAGCCTCCCATTGAAATGCAATGGGTGGCGCAGTTTACATGTCAATCCTTTTTTAGACCTGTCTTTAAGATACAATTTAATCCTCCAAAATAGAAAGAATTCCCTAAATTCAACAACTGTCTACAAAATCTCACATAATCTATTTAAAATCTCATATAATCTACTTGTAGACTGATGCGAGTGCTCAATAAAATCTAAATGGATGATGAAGAACATGCATTGCCTCTCCTGTAAACAAATACACATAGCTTTAATTTTAAGCATGAGAACAGTCAAGTTGATTTCACTGGGTCCAATCCTTTAAGTAGAGTTAAGCATGTGTTTAATAGTGTTTGTAGGATTGGTATCTAAATTAGATTATGCTTTCAAATGGCTACACAGAAGGCATCCACCTTCTTCCTTGTCAAATTTAAACATTTCTCCCACTCAAGACACAGTGTGAGTGTAGTGACCAAATTTATTAGATATCATTTATTAGGCATTGCACTTACATATTTTTGCAATATGATTTAATGTACTTTATCATTCAGATTTTTGCTTATGGTATCACGCTCTTTATATCTGGAAATCTTGTCTCTTATTTGATCTGAAAGACTGATCACGTATTTGTTTTTCTGAAGACGCAGTTGACAGTGTTTTTTTCTATGATTTATCCACATTTATACCTAGTAAAGCACTTTTGGATGCTTGGCATACATTGTTTTAAATACCAGAATGGACTATATTGAAATATTATAGTATTTTTGTTTTGTTTTACTTTAGAACTACTGAAGGCCACTATTTTAATCTCATCAGTACTTATTACAAGACTGAGCCACAGGTATCTAAAGACTAACGTCAATTTACTTCCTATCATGATTGTTGACTATGCTGTCAGTTAAATCAACAAATAAACAAAACATTTATGCCATTATCACAGTTAAGATCATCAGCAGATTTCTATAATTTGAGACAAATGAGTTTCATTGAAACATTTAACTGCTGTTAGTTATTAGATTATGCAGTTTTGCACTGTTTTATTACATGAAATTATTTTTCTAACAACATGAATATTTATAATCACTCTATATTAAATGTGGGGGTCTATAACGGAAACCATGAAAGTCTTCAAGGACATCCATTACTACAAAATATTTCTCTTTTTTGCCATTACTCCACAAGTTGTCAGACTGTTCACCGAAGACGTAAGTAAAATACCAACACCCTTCAATATTTTGTTTCTATACATGTCTGATACCAGGAAAATAAACTAAAATATCAAAAGATATTTTGAACAACTATAATCTGCTATACAAAAAGCACTATGTGATTAAATTTTACCATAAAAATCCATAATTCAGATTAAATTAACAGGAAAACCAGACTGTAGATACCACCTATACTTTTAGGTCCAAATTCCACCACAATAGAAGACTGTATCATGGCTCCTGTACAATGTAAATCCTATCCATGTTTAATGTTGCATTTATGTTGTCCATCTCAAAATGAACAGTGTGCGCAAGCTTAAAACCCTAGGATAGCAATAAAGTCTGGAGGTAAATGGCTACTGTCATCTCTGAGGAAAATATCTGCCCATTTTTCTTTTGCACATTATATGTTATTAACAACTGTGGACATGGAGGAAAAGAAGGAAATTGAGGAAAAGGCATATATTTTATAACATATATAATAAATACATATATAGTTCAACTCAACACAGGAATATTGCTGTGTCTCCTTGGAGAGGTTCCAACATAGTTTACATCAAACTGTCCACTGGTAACATTTTGTCATCCTCCTTGAATAATTTCCACATTTCTGATATGAGTTAATGAAAAATACTAACCCTAAGCCATTATACACACAAAATGATAAAAGCTTTACTGGTTAACAACAAATCTATTTTTTGTTTCATTTAACTAATGACATATGGAATGCTCAGCAAAGCATATGGTACTAATTAAACACTGTACAAGTCCCCCAGATATTCAATATAGCCTGAGGTATCCAAGGACTGCTTCCCATCAATGTACATTATCTATGTATTGATTTGATGTTTTGAATGCACAAAAGCCCTGGGAACTAACAGTGTTTAATGATGTGGGAACTGCACTTCTGTTCTTATTTATCTGAATGCTGCAGTTACTGAGGAAAATATTCAGAGAGATTTAATGAACAGGCGAATTATTAACTATGATCGGTTTTAATTTCACTCATACATTATATTTTGTTTATATAGTATTTTAACCTTTGTTCTGACATTTATATTTTTATCTACGAGTATTCCAGACAATAAAAAGTTAAAGACATCATCCTGCTTTAATAGAAACGCTAAATATCATACTCCTATAAATCTTGATTACATGTAAAACCCAACTGATGTTTAATGCTAAAGCTATTTTTAAATATCCCAACATTTTGGTTAAAGCATGTGACACTAGCTGCATAGAGAGAAATCTTTGCATTGTTCCCACATTAAATATTGGTTACTTTTTGAGAGTTCACTCTTATTTTTTTTAAATAATTTCTTTCATCTCTTTTCACTCAAACTTTCCAGCTTTTTCTAGCATGGTTACCAGCTAAAAAAAGGGGGGGAGGGGCTGTTTTTGTTCTGCTTCATAATTATTACTTTAGATTGCACGTATAACAGTGAATTCCAAGAGCCAGTAACTGCATGTTTCTGATGCTGTATTAAGCAGAAAAAATGGATTGAGTTTCATAAGATAAGATGAGAATTGTTCATGACCTTTTGTTAACCAGAATACTGTAATGCAAGAGAACGGAGACTCACTATCTTGACATCCAACATCAAGATATCAATTCTATCAACAGACTTCTTGCAGAATATCAGAAAAGCAGTGTGCACTCAGAAGGGCGATACAAACTCATTTTCCTGTGTGTGTCATAGTAAGTTTGAGACTGAAAAAAAATGACAGTACTTTTTAAAAAGGGTTTTGAACTGTACCTCTTGTTAAATCTATCATGAACCAAAAACCTCCTTCTCTAAACTCCAATTGTTAAAAACATAATCTGTTTTGCTTATTTCACACCACTCTCTCCAAATTCAGTGTGGCTTCAACTCATTTAAAACACTGTGGGTTACACTTAATGCTGTGATTTTTTACACTGAATAAACTGAGATAAAAATAGATCTACATTCTGCTTAACACTTTGTTACATAGTAATTTAACTCTTAAGCATCAGAGCTGTTACATATGTAAGAATTTGTGATTTAAAAGGGAATTGTGAACAGTATAATCATTTTTATATATGCTATATACAATGTTTGAAAATATCAACTGGAATTTTCCACCACAGAGAAACCTCATGCATCCCCTTCTTACCAAAAGGAAGCATCCTTTTTACAGTACATTTTAAGTGCTTTCAAAAATACAACCATATTAACCTGGACATTTATGGTTCATGGCTCTGGACATAAAGCATCAATGAACTGGAAAGAGAAATAACATTTGAGATAGCCAAAACCCTGTAATATAAAATGAGTCTGCATTTTGCCTGCACTACTAAGATAAACAATATTCCTATTTATGGAATGAGCCAAAACAGATATTTATGGTTTTCTCACCATGAGATTGCAAATACTACTTCCCCCAAAAATGAACACTTTTCTTTGAAGTAATTTTTAGTTTGAAATATGGTGCATGATAAAGAGGTCTTCTCACGTAAAGGTGTTTCTCATTCCCCCTGTGCTACAGATTGCACCAGACATATTGAAAATCTATGCATCGGAGACATACATAACATGCCACATAAAGCCAAAAACCTGAATTAAGAAAAACACAGAATGAAAGAAAAATAGCTTTTTTTCATCTTGAGGGGAGGAAAAAAAATCTTCTAACATAGCTGTAAAACATGCTGATAGATCCAAGGTGCTGGTTTCCTCTTCTCTAATATAACAAATTAACACTGCTTTCTAGTCCTGCCTTTCTACATTTACATTCCATGCATTCCACAGAAATAAGAACATACAAATAGAGCTCCTTTCAGCTTCACTAGTCTGTCATCAAAACCTGCAGAGAAATTTTCATTGATAAAAGAAGAGAATGGAAGGAAAGCAGACCAACCTTCACAATGTACGTCACACCAGGTCCCAGGATCTTCTCATTCGAGTGCAGCCACCCTCGGGAGGGTTTATTGACAAAGCTGCTACTTTGATTCCAGTCCTCACCTCCCAGGTGCATTTCCTCTGACCGTGGTTTTTTCCCTGTACTCATCTTGCTCATGTCCTGCTGAGAACACGGAGTGGCAGAGACAAGGTTACATGTGTTGTCTGAAGCCCCTGCTGCTGAGCTAGAAGCACTCGAGCTTCCCTGCAATTTGGAGGCAGCAAGCTCCTTCACTGCAGAGGAGAGATTTTTGATACCCAAAAGGCTGCCTGTGTTGGAGAGTTTCAAGTGGGACACCTTATGGATGAGGTTACAAAAGGTGGTGGGTCCATCTTCTTGGTCTTTGCGGAGAACTTCAGGCGAACACAGGTATGAAGGTGCTGTTGAGGTTGTAGCAACTGCTGAGACTTTGCTGTTCATGGACAAATTATGAATAAGATCATCAACTGATGTCACTGAATCATTCCTGAAGCGGTTATACTTGGTACGCTGAAGCATGCCCTTCTATCTAGTTTCCTGCATATGTTCTGGCAAATCTGATGCCAATGCAGGAGATGTCTGTGCTAACATAGAAGGCAATTCATAATAATGAGGACAGAGAGTTAATTTTGCCTTAAAAAGAGTGAAGAGTATAAGGAAGAGCAAAAAAAATTAAATAAATGTATGGTTCCACGTAAAGGTTGGGTGAAGTAATAGTTTTCTATGACAGAGATCTCAGTCCTGCTTAGAGCTGCCAAGTCGCTCACAGCAAAAGCATGACTCACACAAATGAGAAGGACCCTTTTCAACAAAAGGCTCAGTGAACACTGCAAATCACTTCCTGTAGCAAAAAAAAAAAAAAAACCACCCACTTACAGCACACTAGCACCAATCAATTCTCAAATTTCCTTTTCCTATCTTCTCAAACAGATAGTTCCTTCCAATCTTTAATTTTTTTCTCTTTTTGTGACCAAATACAAACACCTCTAAATAGCTGTACTAACTTTTTTAAAAGAAAATATACTCCACTCTGTTCTTCTGTTAACACGTTCTTCCATACCACATATTTGTCAATCTGTATAAAAAGAGAGTCAGTTAGGCATTAGATATTATAACAATGCATAAATATACAGAAACAAAACAGGATTCATGTATTTTGAAGGCTTTCAGAAAACCATAATATACAACAGATTCAAAAAAATGGGTGGACATACTACACTAAAGAATATTCTCATTTTCTTTCACAAAAGCAGACTTACCAGCCTTAACAAAATGTTTTTGTGCCAATGCCGTTTCTTAGAAAAACTGTTACATCACAGATTTGTACAGAAACAAATCCTTCTATCCTAGTATTCAAGAGTAAGCTTTTGTTTTGTTTTTTAATGTAGTGATACATGACGTACCTGTGTCCGAAGAAAATTTTTTTCTGAAGTACAGCAGCAAACTTAAGAAATACACCTTCATTCACCATTGATCTTCAGTCTAAAGCAAAAAATGTAAAATACACAAATAAATATTTGCTTTGGCTCTGAAAAATTAAGGAATATCAGTGGGACATTCAAGAATACCTGTAGCAGCATACTGACGCCCTGCAGTAAAAAATATAAAATGCACTAGCTCCCGTGAAGCATAAATGCCAATCAAAAACACTGATGAGGAATAAGAGAATAAGTATAAATATTGAAATTTGCATCTCTTTTTCCCTTTTGTTGGAAAAATAAAAAATGTGCAGTATAATGAAGATAGAAGGCAGATAATTATATGGCTCTTGTCATTTGGTCTGCTTTGCAAATTATAGATATTGGACATTATACTGCACTGTAAGAAAGCGAATTCAGACAAAAGAAGTTTAATGGTGCAAGTTCTCTTAAAAAGAATGAGCCTATTTTTGAAGAAATTATTTTGAGGGAATCCCTCCCTTCACCCAGGACTAAGGCAACAGTACATGACGCACAAACACATTAAAACAGCGTTAAATACAGGTATTTAATTAGTATAATTTATGACACATTAAGTCAGCACCTCTTATCCCAGCAGTGATGAATAATTGAAATGTCCTATTCAATGTAAAAACAGATTTCTAGTGATCTGCAGAATAGCCTTTTCGTCACCATACTGCAAACCTGCTCCAGTATCCACACAGCATTCATTTTTTTCTTCATCCTGCTAGCATAGCAACAGCAAATATACACATCATAGATTATTTCTACTGTTTTCTAATGCACAGAAACCCCTGCCATTCCCAAATGACTCTCTTCATTAGAAGCAGATTAAAAAAAACCCTGCAAAATGTGAATGAAATTCTGTGTATGTGAATGAAAGGACTGGCTAGCATACCAACATTTCTGTGAATGAAGCAAGGCCTTGCAGCCTCTGCCAGGCAATCCCTTGGGTGCTAACCATCCCAGCCAATAAGAAACAGCTTGGATGACTCATTCAACAAAGGCTTGCTAAATAGTGGAAGATTCCATTTCAAACACAGGCGGGATCTTTCATACAGCAATCTGAGGGGAAAACCTGCTTACAATGATCTAAAAATTACTAGCATAATTGTTTTGCAGTAAAGATATTTCACAGCTAAATGTAAGGGATTTTTATTAGGAAGGGGATGTGAGCAAAACCATTTTCTTGAATGTGTATTTCACCCTAAGACATTCATTCAACTGGTTCTTTTGCATCAAGGACAGCCACATGAATGTGCACGTTTCGCTTGATTTTTTGTTTGCTGCAAATGTACATTGACAGATCCAATTTTTTACAGGTTTATCTTCAGAGATCTTCTGGTTTGTCTTTGTTCTTTACAAAAATGGAGCTAAATATTTAACTCTATAGCAAACTGGGTATTTTAAAATAGTATCATATGTAAACCAGTGAAAGTGAGAGGCAGAGACAGGGTAGAGGCTTAGAGTAGGGTAGCTTAAGGTATGTTTACACAGCAAAGTTATTTCGAAATAACAGCAGTTTTCTCAAAATAACTTTTTTGCCTCCACTCCCTCTTCCTGCCCAGATGACCCCATCCTCTTTCATTATCTAATCTCCCCTACCTCTGCTATCACTCAATCTCTTACTTTTCTCCTCAATCTTTTGTGGTATTGGGAACTGTACCTTAAAGTGGTTTCACTTCTCAGACAGGAAGTCTGGGGGACTGCACTAAAGAAGCCCACATTCTGCAATGCAGAGGCAATTGGGAATCTGCATCACACAAAAAAGAGGTTCTTTTTTAAGTACCTTGGTCCCGATGTGATTACTAAACACCACATGCTATTGGAAGTAAACAGAAATTAAAGAAAAAACCCAAGAGGAAGAAGACAGCAGATAAAAGCTTTAGAGCTGAAACTCTCTGGTAATATGAAAAACAACTAGAAGAGATTTAAAACAGAGCTCCTCTACAAATAATGCAAATGGCAGCTGCCAGCACAAAGATAGACTGTTAAACAATTTTCGTTTAACTCAGGCAAGAGGAGGCTAACCAGGAAGCTGTATTACTAAAATTAGAGGACAGTAACATAAAACATGAGATTTTTTTCAATCTGAGAGTGCAAAGAGAAAAGTGAAAAAATAGAGTTTCTTGCTGATTCACAGTTTAAGAACCAATCTTGAATTTTTTGGAGGGGGAAGGGTTTAACTGAGTCCATGATAAGTAATCTGGCAGAATTCCAGTTTCATTTTTTTTAATTGTCTTATAATATAAGTGTTTCCCTATTCGATTCCTACTTCGAAGTAGGAATAAGAGATCCTCCGGAATAGGGCTTTATTCCGGAGGATCGGGCCAGTCTAGACGCTTTTTTTCCGGCTTTTCCCCAAGCCGGAAAAAAAGCGGCGGACATGTTTATTTAAATCCGCGGGGGATATTTAAGTCCCCCGCGGATTTCCCTATTCCCACTTTCAAAATTAGCATGCCCCTTCCGAAAAAGGAGCCAGTGTAGACGTAGCCTTGGTGTCTTCCAAGGGTCCATCTTTGCCTCTCTCCACATCTTAACTTTTTTGATACTCTTATCTACAAGTATGGCTTCAACTGTCACCTTTTTGTTGAGAACTCACAAATCTACCTATGTGAAAATGCCCAGTGGCTGAAATGGATTAGAGACAATCCAGAGCCATAGTCAGAGATCTCACAGTGGGGTGGGTAGCCAGGGTTAGTAGGACAGGAAGACAAGGTTAAGCCAGGTAGTAGGTGTGTCAGACAAGGCAGCAACCACCATAGATTGGCCTATTGCTCGGACAGCTTCCTCTTCCTATTGAGGTGTTTATGTAGTCCAGGTATCCAATGGGAATGCTGTTGCCCAGCCAATCAGGGGCTTGGAGTGTGAGTTTGGGGGAGCTGCAGACCCTTAGAGCTAAGCCTACTAGTCAAGGGGATTGAAGGGGGCACAGATGCTGTGTAGGGATCTTGACACTCTCTTTCTGATATTTCCTTGTGGATGCCCAGGTAACAACTTAAACTTAATATAGACAAAACTGAACACTCGATCTTTCCCCATCAACTCTTCCACATTCTCCATCACAGTTGACAATACTATATTTTCAAGTCACAAAGACCTGTGGACCTGTTATCATCTTTGACTAAGGTCTTGGTAACCCTAAAAACATGACCTTACAAATAGGGAAATCTATTGCCCCCTGCTTCTCTGCATTAGTGCAAATCACAAGCTAGCCCTCTATGGAATTCTGTGTTACATGTTCAAAATGACCCAATCTCCCTACAATCATTAGTATTAGATCTGTTCCTGTGTGCTCCTGGAGTTACTTCTTGTAATACTTTACTGCCAAAACAATGTATTAAATGTAGTCTGGGGGAAATCTGCAATCGTTGCATTTGGAGCCATAGTAAAAATTGGAGAATTCCCCAAGACTGTAAATTGAGTAATCCAGGTAAAAGTAAAGAATTGACACATCAAATTCCATGCTAACTATATCTGCTCTTCCCCCCCATTAAAGTTAAATAGACAAATCAGAAATGAAGAAAAAGAGGTATGAAAAAAATCATAACAAGAATACATGGTCACTCTAACTTTTTGCCTTTCACATATGAAGATTGACACACGTTTGTGGATTGACAGAATCCTCCAGAAGGTACTCATGTTGGAACTTGAGAGGCGATATCACCTGCTTGTGCCTCTGTAGAACTACACCCATTTACCCTTTTTAAATATTGGCACAAAATTAGCTTTCTTCCAATCTTAGGAATTTATCTGAACCCCTTTGATTTACCATAGTCTAAGTTTAGTAGCTGTTCTTTAAAATCCTCTTGAGTTACTGTTGGGAAGGAGAAGCACCATCATGATATGATATGATGACATTATCTGTTCCCCATACATATTCACATACAAAACAGAAATATTTATTGAACACTTCTTCCTGATAATAATTCTACCATTATGCATATAGATACTATTGCAAACAAGAATCTACATTAAAAGAATAAAATATCGCACAGTGTCAAAATTGTCAAAATTGCCAGAAGACTAGCCATGCAACCTCAGTTTAGCTTCCTTGTCACTATACATCATATAAGAAGTCTGTCATGCAGCCAGGAATAGAACTAATCTTTCCTGGGGCCCAGTGCAATGCTCTAAAGAACATCCATTCTCTTCTTAGTGCCTTTACTTCATTTGTTGGACATCCTGTGCACTGAAGGAGATGGGTTCCCTGTGAGACCAATAGGATGTGATCATGTAATTAGAGACTGTCACCATACATCTCCACAAAAGAGGCCAAATTAATGTTGCATAGACAACTTTAAGCATTTCCTAACTTTTGAGTGCCCAATTTTGCAACATTAACATTATTTTATGACTTACGTAATTTCTTATGAATTTTAAAAAGGAAAATAGAACAAACAAATTCTGTAATATGGGACTATGGAACTAGAAATGGATGTGAAACATATTTCAACAGTAACTTACACCAGTAATTGCTACACAGCATTGGTATGCTGAGAACCAGGATTCTTGATTTCCATTCTGGATTCTTGAAGGGAACTCTGGTCTAGACATAAGTCAAGCACATAGGGTATGTCCAGACTACACCTTTTCCCCGTTTTTTTTCTGTAAGACACATAGGGTATGTCCAGACTACACCTTTTCCCCCTTTTTTTTCTGTAAGAGGCTAAATTTCAGGAAAAAAAACCCTCTTTCGAAAGATTCTTTCTTCCTTGTGGAATGAGGAAGACAGGACTTCCAAAAGAGCGCATCTGCTCTTTCGCAAAAGAAAGCGGAAGAGCAAATGCATTCCCTGGACTTGGTGGTGTTTTTTCGGGATACCAAAGGTATCCCGAAACACCCTCCCCCTCCCCCCCCGCAGTCTAGACGTACCCATAGAGACTTGGCACACTCATTCTGAAAGGCACAATGGTTGAGACTTCCGTGTGCAATATTAGACATAAGGTTATATCTCCATCACAATGATATGTGACTTTGTGCACCTTGGGGAATAATACTTCATTTGTTCATAAATTAGGGATATGAACTCTTGCTCAGTAATGGCTGTCAATGGCACAGAATTATTAATATCAACCAGTCGAAAAGCTGGCTACCCAACAAAGCACTTGTTTCCCTAGGCCAAAAGAGTGGTAACTGCTGTTAGTTCCCTGCCCATTCTAGAGCTAAAACTGTGTGAGGCATATTCAGCACACATGGTGGATCAGCAAGGCCTGGGAATATGTTAATATAGATAGAAAGTGACAGAAGGCACGGGTATGCTCAATGCAGGTGGAATATTCAGAGATTTTAGCAGCAAACCTCTGAGGATGGGCATGAACCTCTCAGGCCAGATGAACAGACTTGGGTTAGCATGACCTACACTAGTACTCTAAAAATAAAAGTACGAACATCTTTGAAGTTGCACCATCTCCCTGGCTAGGCTTCAGAGCTGGAGCTCCATTCGGAACCACAACTTCAAAGTGCTGTCAGTACAGCTATTTTTAGAACACTAATGCAAGCCCCAGTATGGCAAGTCTTTTGACCCAGGTTGGGAAGCTCATTCTAAAATGTTGTGTAGAAATACATTCAAAAGCAGTACTGAGCATGTGAAAGAGGTGATTTTTCTGGAACTTAAAACTTAGTCAATCTGAGTTATAGTCCTGAATCAGTAAAAGACACTTCTCTGATCCCGGTACCGTTCCTGCTACATTTCAAGTCCCTGCTCCAAACAACAGAGTGCTCGAGCTCTTCTAAGAAACTGCTACAAATATTTTTTACCATTAGTAAAACTGCCTATTTTTCCATATCTTCATTCCTGGAGGTAGCTGAACAGTTTCTGCTGATACTTTCCTGAAAAAAGGCAGACCGTTAGCATGAAAGCTAAACAAGCCATAGTTTAGCAAAGTTACA